TTGTTACTACTAGTAAGGCACCTGTTACTACTAGCGTGGCACTTGTTTCTAGTAGCTTCTTGTTACTACTCTTGTAGCTGGGGCGCCATGTTGGGAGCTCCGCTGAGCGGAGCCCTGAGTCATGCTGCGAGTCAGCCCTGAGTCGGCAGACAGCAGGACGTGAGTGCAGACTTCGTCCGGAAGCCCGGCTGACGCCACGTCCGCGGAGAACTGCAAGGTGCGTCCACTCGCTTGCACACTCCATGTGCCACTTCCTATTTGTTGGTTCGTCACTGGGTGGAGGGCGCGAAGGAAAGAACATGCATGCTGTCATGGCTTGAAAGCTGTTGCGTTTCCTTTTTTACCGATCCACTGTGCCAAACAATAGTCTGCGCGGCAGGAACAAAACGTGAAACATGGAATATTGGTGAAGATCTGCAGGTTAACGAGATAGTTAGATTATGTAAAGGAATTCCAACAAGATTGCTGCACTATGCTGGCTGAGCGCAGACTTGAAATTGAAAAAAGAAGTCGCAAGGAGCGCCCCAAGCCGTTTTAGCGACCTGAACTTCGCAGCCGTCAACGAAAGGAAGAAGGCATTTGGCCAGGAGCGCCCCTCGTAGCGTCCTTGCTGAAGGCATTTGGCCATTCAGGATGGACTTGCCCGCAGGGCATTCCGCAGGATTCTACGTCGGCAAAACGCCAGTTTCAACCAAAGCCAGATCGCAGTCATCGTAGAGAAAGAAGGACTAAACTCAGCGGATCTAGTGAGTGGCCAGTCAGCTCTGCTACCTGCCACCACGGTCGGTGAAACTGGAAGATTCCGCCAGGCACGGCGTTTCGACGCCAGGCACGGCAGTCTCGACAGGCGTCGACTAAGCGAGCGCTCGCGGCACGGTGTGCACCGTTTCCAGATGCATCGGAGCGGCGCTCTTGCAAACTGTGCTTCGAAGCGCCACCGATCGATATATATATATATATATGAGGTGGACACAAAGGCCCCGAAATGGTCTGGGATAAGGCCATCTCAAAGGGCAGATCTGGATCAAGCAGGGCATGATGAACTTGACGCCCTCAAGTTTCCATAATTACAGAACAGTTGGTTTCACCTCAAATGATCAAGAAAAGCTTGGGATTGAATTGTCAGACCGACCCAGGCGAACTCTGGAAAAAATATGCTGTAGATATACGTACAATATATTACTATATATTATATGTATCTAGTAACATCAATACAAAAAACAACATACCCATGAAAAAGCAACGGCAATAGATGCAAATCAAAAGAAGCATGCAACAAAGCACTAGCAAAGAAATGCTAATCCAAAACGCACATGAAAAGGCAACATAACAACAAGCCCAAAGCAAAAATTGATTGCCGCTCACCTGGTGTCGCATTTGTTCCGTTCCTTTCACGCAACAGGCAAAAAGGCAAAAGGCGCGCGTCACGTTTTTACTATTTGATTGTGTATCTTCGCCCCGAACGGCGAGCGGTTGCGGTTGAGGCCAAGGCCAGCCAGAGCTGTGGTGCAAAATCAGCAGGACGTCCGCGTCGTGAAACCTCGACCCCGACACCGGGAGCGGGAAAAGAACAGAATGACTCGTAGTTCTAAACGAAGTATACCCTGATATATCTATATATTTTGCAGCAGTATGTTTAAACAAAGAATCAAGTAAACCACCTCACCCACTCGCCAAGGAAGATCATGGCGTTTCTTTCGACTCTACACTGGATGTTGGCTGGAAACGCCAAATCCGACATCTTGGGGATCAGACTCGCGTGAAAGGCATCGAGTATAACCCACCAACCCACAAAGCAGAAAGTACATGAACGCGCGTTGTGCCGCTGTTACCACAAACTAATGCAGCAACCACATCCTCCAACTCGTTTTGGTTCGCTGCATGTGTTGTTTGGGGATACTGTCGGGCTGGGACCCCGAAACGTGATGTAGATGGAGAGCAAGGAGCCAATGACCTGGCACCGAGCGTTCTTGCGAAACCGAAATCAGAGGGCGTACCAGCCGCAGGGGTGCATGGCGTTCTTTGCAGTTCTTTGTGTCTTAAAGAAATTCATCTGCAAACCTCTGGAATTCGGAATTCGTGTTGTGTTCCTTTCGTGGGAACAAACATGAAACCCTTTGAGCCTGTCTCTAATGTCCGGGAAGGGGCCCGGTCCGTGTCCCACCGGCCGAAGATCGTCTTTGTTCCCGCCTGGATGGGTGTGAGCATGGCAAAGGCCGCGACGTATAAGCCGTAGCTGGCATAGAAGTAGATCGAAATGATCTGGGCGAATCTACGGAAGCAGGTCTCGCACTGGACGGAAGGTTTCTACCGCATGCTGCATATCCATGAAAATTACCACATCGTGTCTGAAAAAAGGGAAAGCATAGATCAGAATCCAGGTTGAGAACAGCTGAAATCTGCACCAAGGGTTTAATCTGAAGGCCACAAAGCCCTGTAAAGAGTTCTTGTTAGAAGTGATGTGTACCACCAAGTTTGTTCGTTCGGGAACCTCCCCCCCACCGATTGTCGCGAGTGGCAGAATGCCTCGATGTTTCTGGCTTGGAGACCCCGCCCGAAGGATGCAATCGGTGGCATGCAGCAGCGTGAAGGCCAGAAAGCCGGCATACCCTGCAGAAAGCGAGAAAACACATCAAAAAAAGTGATTGTCAAGGTCTAAGAAGCCGCGTACTCGACGCAAAAAGGAAAACAATGGAAAATAGGTGGCATACTAAAACAATGGTGGCCAGATGTGGCCAGCTGACGCTTTGAGTCTCGAAGTTGCTCATCCGTTCGACTCCAATGCTACGGTAGCACTGGACAGGTCCCTATGGGGTCTGAGAACTTTGTTTGTGAAAAAGAACCTGCTGGAACAAGGACGCTACTAGGGGCTCCTGGCATCGCTACTAGGAGCAAGGACGCTGGAAGGAGTGCTGCGTTCCAAAAGCTATTAGAAACAAGTGCCTTACTAGTAGTAACAAGAAGCTATTA